ATGGTGTTTTATTGACACCAAAGTTTTAATTTTGTTTCTAAATGTCACTGTTTTGTTGGCGACGTGGGGGCAGGAAAAGTTAAAAATATTGGGAATTGGAAGAAGAAGAAAAACAACGGTTTGCTGTCTTCTCTAGACAAAATACATCAACATTTATTCTCTATCAACAATGAGGTACAGGTTACAGACATGCACATGGCTACATAGCTGGCATTTGGGAGGGTCCTCGACCAGGAGGACACGGTTACACTATGCGCCCAGCTGGGCCAGAAAGCTCCGGAGACAAGCGAGGAACCACCAACTAAGGGCGCGGGATGGCGCACAACAAGCTAGTAAGCCTGCAGAGAGAGAGAGAGAGAGAGAGAAAGGCGAGAGAGGGAGAGAGAGAAAGGCGAGAGAGGGAGAGAAAGGGAGAGAGAGGGAGAGAGAGGGAGAGAGAGGGAGAGGGAGAGAGAGGTAGAGGGAGAGAGAGGGAGACAGATGGAGAGAGAGGGAGAGAAAGGGAGAGAGAGGGAGAGAGAGGAAGACGAGAAGGAGAGAGAGGGTAAGAGAGGGGAGGAGAGGGGGAAGAGGGGGGGGGAGAGGGGGAGAGAGGGGAGGGAGGGGGCGAGAGAGGGGAGAGAGGGAGGGGGACATGAGGGGGGAGGGGGGAGAGAGGAGGGGGGGAGGAGGAGGTGCAGGGTGAGCGGGGGGGGGAAGAGGGAGATAAAGGGAGAGTCGTAGGGAGAGAGAGGAAGGGGTTTAGGAGCGGGAGGCACGGAGAGAGGGAGGGACGAGGGAAGAGAGAAGGCAGGGGGGAGGGAGAGTGGGAGGGAGAGGAAGAGAGAGAGGGAGAGTCGGAGAAACGGGGGGAAATAGAGAAGGCGAAGAGAGGGAAAGCGGAGAAAGATGGAAAAAGTGAGAGGGAAAGACTCTTGAGTATCAGGGGTTCTCTCGTTTGGTTACACCATGTGTTGAAAAATAACTGCATTTATTTAATGACAGGCCTACATAGTGTCTCAAAATGTTACAAATTTCTATGAAATGTGCGGGATTAGATCACTTTCTGCCAATGAGCATGTTCTGCAAAGGTATTTCGTGTACCACAACAAGATGACTTGCCTACAAATAAGCGGTAAATACCACATGTATAACTTCGTTACATGACATTTCCCTTATTGGCAAAAAGCTATCATCTTTCACACTCAACGTACCTTAAGGAGCATGTAACATATATTTCAAGACACTATATGGATCGTCCAAATAAAAGTGGGATAGTTGTTGGTTTGGGAAATGATTTAGTCCTGTGTCACACGAGCGTTGCGTTGACGAGCGTTGTAAATTAGCATTGTATCTTGTACGGAACGGCACAGAAGCGGTTTTGGCCGTTCTGCATAAGATACGGTGTTAATCTATGACGCGCGTTTCTTCACTCGTGTCAACGCAACGCTCACTTGACACAGACCGTAATGGAATTTGTTGACGTAACATATGGGGGCAAATATTGGACAGCTTCCCTAATATTTCGAGCTTTATTGATTTTTCAGAATGATGTATAGTATGTGAATTAAAAATGTATTAAAATACAGTATTCAGCGTGCTCTGAAACATTTGTCTTTCTAAAGAAGCAATACGAATGAGGAAGTGGTCAGTATAAATGAATCATTCGAAAGAGATTTTAGTTCCCGGAAACAGATATACAAAATTTAAAGTGACATACGGACGGCTAATTTAGCAATTCTTTTAGTTTTAATGGCAATTAAGTCCAAAATGATAGGCAGGTGCCCTATTTCCGGGTATAAACTTTATCAAAAGGGGGTGAACACATGAAAAGAAAAGTATACCTTTTATCATGATAGCTACGATCACCGTTGATACCAAGGGAACTGTAAACAAATACAATGCTGCAAGCTCCCAGAAAATTTCCAGTTGCAATAATATTATGATCTGAAGTTTTTCAAAGCTTATTTGTGCTATTACAATGAATTAAAAACATTTAGTAGAAAAAGCTTTCAGAAACATGTCATGAATTTTAATGGGTTACTTTACCCTTTTGGAAATATTCGCAAACGTCTAAAAAGTGTACACTTCTATTTTCGTATAAGGTGTGGTATATGAGTAAAGTGACACTGTTTACATGTTCACCCCATTTTGATAATGGCGGCTCCACACATTCGGCATTCGCCGAGCAGCTGCTCGCCCAATTCCGAACAGCTGATGTGTTCGGCGAATGTTCGCTCCCTTAAAAGCGGGCGAGGCTGTACGTATTTGCCGTGAAGGATGATAAAGAGGCCTCAATTTTCCAAGAAATGAACATTTTAGGTGAATTAATAGGGTTATAAATCGCCCAAAAAATTAAATGTTTTCATACCCCAGAAGTGGAAACATATTTTCAGGTCGATTTTAATGATAGCAAAACCATCACCACCAACCTAAAAGAAAATGCGTTTTTAGAGATCAAAGGAGACAGTAACAAAAAAAAATTCCAATTTTGACAATAAACTAGTCCAGGGAAATTGAGAGGCGGAGGTATTTAAACATTAATTCCAGTTCGATTAACTTAATGATATAAAATTAGTTTCACAAATTGCGTATCTATACTAGTATTAAAGTATGAGTTTAGATCATGTGAAATGGTATGTGCATCCAATATTTCCTAAAATGAATTAAAATTTGTCCAACACAAATATTCCCTTTGTCATTATTAAGTAGAAAGTAGTATTTACATATTCTTGGAATTGCAATTGAGTTCCAAGTTCTTTGCATCTGAAAGTACATTGCTGAAATGAGGGCTCCGTATTGAAGCTTGGTAATTACGCAAGTTAGCATGGTCAAAAGCGGAGAGAGGGATATTTGAAAAAGGGATGCGGAAATCATGTTTCTTACAAACATATACTACAGGAAAGGGGACTAATTAGTACAGGTTGCTCAAATGTTGGTTGAAAATATCACCAAGTATACCGAACTTCTTTCTCTGCAGGCTTAGGCTTACAAATTGTAATTTAATTATTTGAATTGATTTGGTGAATTGTTTGTTGTAAAAATAATATGAGAAACATTCAACAATGTCACCTTGAAAAGATCGGCCTGGGGTAGTTACAATATTCTGGAAAGATGCAAATTTTAAAATAAAATTTACACTTGTTATGTTTTTATTAATTTTCATACATATTTTTGATTTTGGGGACATATTTTCTCTATTATGGTTTACAATATGATTTTCCATTTGTTGTCTCACTAGATCATTCTGTATTACCATTATTTCATATAATTCTTATGTACATCTATTTTACAATATGGAATTGACCACATGGTATTGAATTATTTACTCTTGGGGGTATGTTAATTTACATATTTTTCTTTAAAAAACGTCATGGAAGGGAAATAATTAGATACAAGGTTGCTCAAATGTTGCTGGAAATAATTTTGCAAAAGTGAGGTAGTAATGTACGAAAATTTTACATAGTTAAAAAATTGAAATCATTACAAAAGTGAGTTCTACTAGTATAAGAATGACGATATTCTCTTTCACAGGTATAAATTATTCAAAACTTTGAAATCTGAAATTTTGTCTTCCATTTTGAAGAATCTAAATTATAATAATACAGAAATAAAACATTGGTTATATTTTTAGATCATTTCACTGAGCTGTGTCACAAGATAGTTATAGATCTAAAATGAATTTGTCCATCTGTGTAAAAACTGTAAAATCTATTTTTAGGACTAAATATTTAACTTGTAATTATTTTTGAAATACCATTGAAAATATTCAATAAAGGAAATATTTCAGAAAATCACACGTAAAAAGAAAAATGAATTATATTTATTTTATATTTTAACTGAAAGCAACCAACCATATCATATCAAGAGGGGTTGCAAACATTTTATTTATCATTTTGAAAGAATTTTATGACAATAGTTGTCTGTTAAAATTGTCGAGTATAAAATGTTTCTACAAAAATGAGAGATACAACTAATTGTTACCACTTGATCTATAATTTTTTTGGAAATATTATATTTCAGGGATGCAAAATTTATAGGTCTATTTCTCAAGAAATATAATTGTGTCATTATTTTATTTATTATTACTATGATAAATTAATTTTTTAAAAAGAGTATCACCTTATATCGGCGGAAACTTCAATTGCAGGCCTATGTATGTAGATATTCAAGGAGCAATGACATCGGTTGGATATATTTACATATTTTCAAACGAATTTTATTAAAGCAAAATATAAATCATTATGACAAAAGAAGACTAGGGCACAAAAACCTTGCGCAAAAAAGGAACAATGGAACAAGTTGGTGATTCCTGTGTAAAAACAATTACCAATAAATATCAAATTTTGCCTTTCCTACTCACGTTACTACAATTCTGAGCAGAATTATATTTTCTTACTTGATTGTGAACAGCATCATGTTCAAAATTAATTTTCTGTTGTATGTATATTCCTATGTGTCGTGTAAAAATGTTTCTAAAAATTTATAATTTTCATCTGAAGTATCATGAAGTAAGTGAGACTTCGTGTCGGAATATCAGTCTGGTTTTTCAGTGGTTGGTTTTTTAAGCGTTAATTTCCTGCCAGGCCCATCAATTTTAGATTGACTTTATGGTAAGAAAATAGTTATGGCATCTCTCTGGGTGAAGAAACTATTTAACAATATTTGTTCCTTATTAAATTTTTTGACATATCAAGACTTGTGAATATTGGATCATTCGGTTTACTACGGTTGGACCATGCCCCGTAAACTCATTGTTTACCTTCCTCGTACGTTAAGTAGAGAGATTTAGCATCTCCGAGGCAGTGCTACTTTCTCATCATTCAACACGTGACATTTTCAGTTTCCTATGACGTTTGTTCACTTACATTATCTTCTGTGCGGTACAAATCGTAAAAAATGCATAAATAGATGAAAAATCCTTACAAGTACAGTAAAATAAGGTAATCATGTATTTTCTATACAATAATCGTCACACTGGCCATTCCTAAAAAAACTATTCAAACAAACACAGTTGATTAGAAATGACAGCACTGCACAATGTTATTAATTCAGACGAAGTATGCTTATAGAATGGATTGTTTCTCGCCTAAAAATTCGTTCGAAAAGGAAGTAAATGAGAAATGAGGCATGATCTCGACACGAGGGTGGCCCCGACAGATTGAAAATGGTACGTTGCACAATTGTGTCAACTTACACAATTAGCCTTAGGCAGGCCAAGGTCAGAAGAAACGGGAGGAAATAAGACTTCGTTTTGACTGCTAGGAACCAGCATAATACTGGCATAGTGTATACACAACACCTATGCTACACACCAGCGTATGAACACAGAACACAGGGTAACACAGTCTCTTGGTTAAACGCAATGGTTTCGTTCGCAGCAAAACCACGCAGTCTCCAATATCGGCCACTTAGGCCTCCTAATTCTACTAACAATAACATAACATACATTTTTAAATGTGCTGCCAGAACAGCCGTTATACAATAAAAGTCTTTGTTGCTTCATCGTACGATCACAGACCTAGCTGTCACTTGTCCTTACTTTTTGTTCGTGCGCGAATATGCTTTTTTATGAAGCTTCCATTGTAACGCACTTTTCAACGGTTTAAAATTCCCTCCAGGGAAGTGAAGTTAGGTCAGACAATAGCGCTATCACGCGGCCGACAATCAAACTAACGCCCGCGTTTGATTTTTTTCCTCTCGCGTCCACTCAGTCCACCAGTACAGTAACAATTGACGGTGTGGTCAGGGGAATCGATACATTATTTTACACATCGCTCAGTTTTTTTTTCACAAAAGGGACCTCCTTACTTATTTACTTACATTGGTAATTAGTAGATAAATAGAAGTAGTATTAGAGGCAAGACAGCAAGCATTTTTTGGCCTAACACGTTAACATCTTGACGCATTATTTACTCTCTAGTGACGATGGAAGTATTGTTTAGTACATGATACGTTGTGTGCATGAAAACTCGAAACAGGAAAGAACGCAATTGTTATAATGTAGTATTTTGTGGGTTCATACACCACGCGAGAAAGTGGTTTGTCGTTTCGGCAGTCACAGTGCTGATCGCAACACGCATAATCTTCCCTTGTTAAGTTCCGGATATCCGGAATCGTTCAGCGCAACAACCCCAAGCGCTTCAGAAGAACGTTAAGCGAACTACAACTCCTATTCGATCTCGCGGACGTTCACAGAACTGCCGTCTCGCGTCGACAATACGACGCCATTTTTGAACAATCGAACCGTCCTCTCCTGACTCTAGGCTTCACGGTATTTTACATGATACGTTGTGTGCAAGAAGTAGTGTGCGGTTTGGCGTGTGCGTGCTACGTCGATAAAAAACGGAGGACGCGAGAGCTAGAATAGCGCCAAGCAACGAGACAACTGCTGCGGTTGCGGCGGCGGCGGCGAGATGGCAGCAGCGGCGGCGGCGGCGGCGGCGGCGCGGCAAAGCGACAGGCAGTTTTCTGACAAGATGGCTGGCTGGCTGCCTCGACAAGATGGCTGCCTCTCGTCCGGAGCTGCGCTTCAAAAGGTGAGTAGTAGTAGTAGTGGTTGTAGGTGATGGCGACGCGCCTTTACGCCGGAGGCCCATGCTAGGACGCGCCCGCCTGCGCTTTGGTGGGTTGCGGCGTGCGTTCAAAGCCGCGAATCACCGCCTCGATGATGAACTTGATGGTGATCTTGTAGATGTTCTCTACGTTCTCGGTGTAGCGGTCGCCGAGGGTCGTCGACACCGCCTGGAGGAAAGGCTGCTCCAGCTTCTGCAACACAAGACAAGAACACGTCAGCAAGGCTGCGTCCACACGATGCGTGTTTGCGGTTCATTTTGCGCATGTGTCTAACGCTTGCAATAGCGCACATAGCGCATGCGTCTTGCCTCAAAAAGACACAAAAAGACACATGCAATAACGCACAGCTTCCCACAGAAAACGGGAGACTCATGCTTCTTATGGGCATGCGTCTTGCCTCAAAAAGGCACATGCAATAGCGCACAGCTTCCCACAGAAAACGGGAGACGGCTTCTTAACCTTGCTGTTTCTCCAAAGAGTAAATAGTGTGCAGCCTTCAAAACAATTAGCATGCATTTCAAGCCATATTTGAGCCTCACTTAGGTCCCCTCATCAGCATCCTATCATCTCATAACTCACACTTCAAGACGTAACAACATTATCATACTGAGGGATACAGCTCAAAACTGATCCTTGAAAAATCACACACGTAAATCGTGGAGCGTGTTAAGTAATTGCCAATATAATAAGCGTGTGTAATTATTCGAGGCAATATAATCAGAATGTTACATTTGGTTTACATTAGCACTTAACATACATATAATATCATATTATGCGACTAGTTTATAATGTTAGGCTTTATTTCATGAGTATATGTTTTGAAAATGAGCGAGGTTTGAGCGAGTTTTCTACCTTGTACAAATGCAATAAAGCAACATTATACAAGATTTGCATATCTTATTTTTTATAACAACATTAAAACTTTCTAAGAAAATCATAGTTAATTTTTGGAAATAAATTTATCATATCATGGGCATTTCACATCTGTTCGAAAAAAATAGTAGTCGCATGTTTGGTGTACCTCTACTACTTCACGATTCGCTCGCTGCGATTGGCTGAATGTGTGATGACGCATTCATTCCTGCTATAAACGGCAAATGCGTCCAAATCAGGACCACAAGATGTCATTTTATGAACGATTTCAAGTAACAGAAGGGTTTTTTAAAATGCTGGAATACAAAAACATTAATTTTAACACAAGAGAAGTTCTCAAACTTGTAGCTGTAATTCAAAATGCTATATAAACAGTTGTAGGGAAATTTCGGAGTTGATGACAATAATGAACGTCAATTAAAGTGACATTTCGGCTTTTATTCAGCCTTCATTAGGGCTATAACAGAGGGATTTTCCTTATCCAATAAGTACAATTAATAATAATTGACACTCATCTAACAATAGCATATATCACAATTTTGAATAATTATAGACTGAACATTTTACTCCGGATATCTCGGAACGTATCCACATTCTAACCACTCTTCTTTCCCACACATTACTTCCTGCACTTCCTTGCCTTCATTTCCACGCATTACTTTGACATAACACGCCATCTTAGCATACTTATTCAAAATTGTGATATAGGGAATTATTAGATGAGTGTAATTAGTATGATTAGTGATGATAAGTGATGAGTGTAATAAGTAAAATTTTTAGTACTTGGTGAATACGGAAAACCCCTCTATTATAGCCCTGATGAAGGCTGAATACAATCTGAAACGTTGGCACTTTAAATTACGTTTACTCGCATTATAGACCTAAACTCAGAAACAATTCCCTACAATTAATCAACAAGGTCCAAAACCAAGCTGAATATTAACAGTTTTAAGCGACAATTGAAATCCACAAATAAATTCTAGGCATCGATTTTATTTGTGCACCAGGTCATTAAATGTGTTAATAATACAGGCATAAAGATGGCGATGAGTATTGAGTTGAAATGCGCTAATCGCTTTTTGTACATTTTATTGGAAAAAATTAACGGGGCGTGGGCGATGTCACGCGTCAGCAAGAACCAGGACACGTCCGGTGAGCACAGCAGCTGGCGCCTGGTGCAATGTCACTGCGTGGGTTAGCAGAATCTGGGCAAACGGAACCAATATATCTTTATCTTTTTAACCTCTGGTGGCCAGAGGTGATTTTAACACGTTTACGTCTTTAGAATTGATTGATTTTGTTAGTAATTCCGGGCACGTCAACGGCAAAGGTTGTTAGTCCAGTCAGGGTAGTGCATTTTCCTCGGGAGTTGCCGGTCATTCCCCGCTAGATAGCGCTGTCCTACTACCGTCAGCTAGCAGGGTTATCCCCAACCAGATATCTCCCACCGGCGGGGCACCGCCCCAGTTGGGACAAGCTCTATACTCTCAACCGGTCTCCCGGGTATGAGTGGTAGTGTAGTGCATGGGTTAGTGTAAGGGTGTATAAGTAAGGGGTGAGGATAAAACAAAGTAGGGGAAGGAAAGATCGCGCACAGTCCGTGACCGGTTTGTTAGAGTACTGCTCCGGCATTTGCTTGGCGTTGATCAGAGAAACCACGGAAACCTACCGATCAGAGCAGCTGGACACTAGAATTCTTAGCCAGAACTGAATTCGACCTAGCTGACAAGCTAGGATAGAAAATACTGCCACCGTAAGGTCTTGAATCTATGAGTGAATCTATGAGTTGGGTCTTGAATCATGTGACCCGTAATTTTTATTCTAATGACCGGCGTAGATGGCACAAGACATCAGTTGATGTCACTGCAGTGCCTCTGACCGGGAGGTCCTACGATCCCAGTCGCGTCACTGAAAGGATTTTCAACAATAACTTGTCAGCTATGCCGAGTTCAGTTGCTGACTGGAGGAGAATTCTAGTAGCTGGCTGCTCTGATCGGAAGTTTTTGTGGTTTCTCCGATCAACATCAAGCGAATGCCGGAGCAGTACTCTAACAAATGGGCCATGAACCTCGCGCAATCTTTCCTTCCTTTTCCTTTTTATATCCTCATTCCCCCACATGCATTATATTACCATACATGCCGGGAGACCCGTCTGCCGATTGGTAAAAGTGTCATTTCATTTTGAGACTAGGAAATGTTGCGATACGAGGCTTAAAGACCGTGTAGAGTTGTGTAATCCTCAGAGCAAAATAAAATCACTTTTATCATGTCTGTCTTTCACTAGTTGTTAGACAGCCTTACTGACTAATTTTATTTCGGTGCTTAAGTATTTTATTTATTTATTGAGCCTGTAAAATCCCTGTAAGAGCAAAGGCCACCTGCTTCAGTAGGGTGAAAAGTTGGCTTTCATGTTTATCAAATGAAATTGCTTTTACACAACATGAAATTACAAATAATTACAAACTTTTACACAAAAATGAACACAACGTATAACACAAAGTCAAACAAAAAATGAACACAACACATAATTACACAGTATTACACAACAAAATGAACACAACACATAATTACTCAAAAATTTGAATCTCTTTACCTCAAACTCTTCCGTCAATGTCTTACACTTGTCTCAGTCTCTCGGTTGTTCTTTACTGTGAGTCGATTTTCACATTAAGATTATTACAAAAGCAAAACAATAACAAACTAGAAACCCAAAAAGTACATTAACTTTCTCTTTGATACAAACTCTTTGGTAAATGCCTTCCACTTGTCTCTGTCTCTCGCTCCACTTAAGCATGTATTTCCAAGCTCGCTCTTAAATATATCACTCTACCTTCTGCTACCTGGATTTCGCCAGCCCGTTCGCGGGTCCCATGCTGTAGTTGAGTGAGCCCAGCGTTGTGGTTGTTGCCTCACTATGTGCTCGCACCAACTCCATTTCAATCTTGATGCTTGAGTCGCTGCGTCCCGTTGATTTCCAAAGATTATTCTTTCCATTTTCCTTTGACTTCTTTGTAATCTTGTTACTTGTGCATCAGTTAATGACCAAGTCTGGAGGTGGTCAGTTGTGGATTCAAGTATACAAATCACTTAATGTTACGGTATGGTCAGTATTAGCTGATGCGATCAGGCGAATGTATTTTGTAGTCTTTGTTGCAGTCACATATTTATCTGAACACTTGATCATCGTAGAACATTCAGCGCTAGTGCTAAAAATTGAACTTATAGCGCGCAATGCGTGGCCTAAAAGAATCGCTTTTACTAGAGGCGATCTAAAAAGTTCATATCAGAAAATTTCTCCACAACACGTTTGCTATTATCTTCGGTGTTCTGGGTACCCCAATATGGCGGATCGTCGTTTCAGGAGGCTTGAAGTTTGTGTCATCATTCTACGCCCCTTTATTCCTTGACCAGAGGCAAGAATACATGAAGAATGTATGTATAGGCGTGTCCAGAGGGGCCAAGAATCTGATATTTTTACCAAGATTTTAGTGAAGATAACAACTTCCAGGAGAGACACATCCGGGTCGCTTAAATATCAGAATTTTAAGTTTATGGTAATTGACGATGTACGATTTAAGATTTCATGTAATGGTCCTGTCTATAATATAATCAACCCCCCCCACTCCCCTCACATCTAGCTAAATGAGGGCTCAAGACAACCTGTGTGGATAATACGTTATGTTTTCCCAGGAGATAACACATCATTTAATCATCTGGCCACGCTGAATATAGGTCGCGCCGGCCACGTATCTGCAGGAGGCCGAGTGATGCCTCCCCCCTCCCCCCCACCCACGCACTCTCGGTGTGGAAGTGCGCTCTGCGAAGCGTCTGTTTACGCGAGCCGGCCGGCGCGTTGCGGCGTGGCTATAGAATACCCTTTTGATCTCGCGGAGGAGCCGCTAATATTAGTTCGTAGAGACTGCGCGTTATGTGTTTACGCGGCGCGGCCTGACGGATGGCTGTTGTAACTGGGTCATCTTCAGAGCCGGCGCTTAAGGATCCGCGTGGCCCCTGGAGCGAGCGGAGAAGCCGCCAAATAACTGACGCGTAACCGCTGACGTAGCCTTGGAGAAAGAAAAAAAAAAAAGAAAAAAAAAGAAAGAGAAATGAAAGAAAACAAAAGATGCCGTTCTATGCATGAATACACATGAAAGTGGCTTTATTACTCGTATTACTCGTGCAACTTTTCTTGAACGATGGATTGAAGACGGGCGGGTAGAGTGGGGGTATTAGTTACGAAATCGGCCACTAGATTTTATAAAGCAATGCCAATCTCTAAAGAATCAGTTACGTGTTCGCAACTTTCTCAATAATTTGCGTTCTATCTTTCTCAGGAGTTTGAGGTATCTCCTGTGATGGATCTTTACCGGCTTCGGTCTTTTTTTTTATAGATTTTTTGGGGGAGGAAATCACGGGCAGAAGTTCTCGTCTTCAACAGAAAATAGTTTCTATTTCGCGCCAGTGAAGATGTGTTTGGAATGTTGTCATCAGTGCTCGCTGCGGGCTTTTGCCTTCAACTGTTTATTGTGCCAGAGAGGGGGAAGCAAGGTCATGGTTCAAGAAAAGTAGCGCGATTAATACCAACCTCTTCCATGTTCCACATGTGAAGCCAGACCGCCATTTTGGTGTGCCCAAAATACGTCTGTCAAACGCGATAACAAATGGGTAGTACCGCGGCCAATACATATATCGGATGTGGTAATACTTATTTTTTCAATGGAAATTAATAATCTTCGGAATATTGGTGATTATAATAATTAAAACGGAAAACCTTCATTACAATTATAGGGCTACTTTAAAGTATTTTCAGTGCAAGATAACCTCAAACTAAAAACGTGAAGAATACTACATTAGCAAATGTGCTTCTTGTGCCTTCGAGATTTCTCACATGATCACTCATAAAAAGTATGCAAACAAATAAAAACCTATCACTGCTGACATTCTGGAGTATGCACAAACGATTACAGAATATTCTTACAAATTAGTGTTGTCACAATATTCGAGGTCTGGCTAGCATACCAACAATATGATTAAAAAATCACGTCTTACTGTACTGTTACTTTTTTATTTCATCATTTCCTTACATAAACATTAATTACTCTCATCAGAAGTCAAAAGAGCAGGGTCCTAAAGTTTGGTGTTTAAAGATCGGCCAGTAATACAATTGATGTCAACATTGTGCAAAACTTTTGGGTTTCTTTTGTAGAAGATGTCAAAAACTATAATGTTAGTTATTCTTTTGAAGACATCAGTGAATAATTATTCCTGCGCAATTTTTTTCTCTTAAGTGTGGTAGAAAAGCTGCTGAAATTGTTGGAACAGGGAGATTCCACAAACGTACGTATCATAAAGAAATTCTATCAAAATCCTTGTTCCGTTCACAACACAAAGCCCTCGCGCAAAGGCGGGTGGTCGCTCCCTCCCTCCGGAGGCGGCCGCTCCCGCAAGGTGTGCCCGTCGCATCCACGCCGCACCCGCGCCGCCGGCCCCTCCCCCGAACGGCGGCTCCCCACGCTTTACCGAAGGGCTGCAGCCTTCTCGCTTGCAACGGGACATTCACTTAATATCAATAAACCGTATGTGCAATGAATTCTTGTAAATTTGTCATCCTCCGCCTCCCTTCTTAACAAGGGCTAACTCTCCCCCCCCCAGGCACCTCACGGCCCCTTGCGGTGTA